AAGACCCCCAGGCGGCGGCCACAGTAGCCTGACACCCCCATCGCGTCGCAGCGCACTCACAGAAACTCCGCTTGCGCCACCTCGATGAGCTGGGCCAATGGCTTGAAGCGCTGCCCGGTGCAGTAGGCCCCGAGCACGTTGTGGATCAAGTCGCGGAAGTGCGACCATTCCAAGACCGCGTCGTCCCCGCTGGAGTCGTGGTTCGCAGCCGGCCCTGCGTTGCCTCCAGCCATCTGGGCCAGCGCAGAGCCTATCCTCGTGTAGATCTTGTTGCAGATACTGTTGTGGAAGCCCGTGCCGCGCTCGCCGCTCATGAGCCCTTGCAGCACCTGCAGGTAGTGCGAACAAGCCTCGACCTCCTCCGGGGTGGCGTGGCTGCACCCGCAATTGTTGGCGCTCCAGACGCCGCCCTCCTCCTCGAGCTTTGAGATGACCTCGTCAATCGGAGTGTCCTTGTTGAAATCGTGCTTCTTGAGGAAGCTGCCGAAGCGCCAGAGAACGTCGAGCCACGACTTGGCAACCCAGTCGACCGAGCGCTTCCAGTCCGCCCTGATCTCCGGGCTGACATTGGCGTTAGCGTACTCGCCCCAGCACTCGTCAATCGTCTGGAGGATCACCAGGCTGTGGATCTCGTTGAAGGCAGGCCAGTCCCGGGCCTCCAGGATGGACTCGCCCAGGATGCACCGCTGCCACAGTCGCGACCGCATCCCGATGTGCTCCCAAACCGAGGTGGGCACGCCGAAGTGGTTGCGGCTCATCGCATTCTCCGCGTTGCCGAGGGCGCGCGACTGGATCGAATAGTGCCCCAACATCGCCGCCACGAGGAGCCTGCCCTTCATAAGCTCCAACTTCTCGGAGGAGAAGCAGAGGCATATCGGTTTGTGCCGCTCGCGAAACCGCCTCAGATGCCCCGGCCGCCATCCACTGATGGCCAGGTACTTGGATGTGTCCGTCCTGATCGGCGGCGGCGGCTCGCTGTCGTCGCATGAGTTGCGCACCTTGGACTCCTCGTCGCGGATTCGTGAAAGTGGCTTGGTGCTCGTCGATCGACAAGTTCTGCGCGCGGCCAACGAACGGGGAGATCTCCTTCATGTACTCCACGCAGCGGTGCCTGAACAAAGCCTCGAATTGCTTGACCCCCGAGTCCCATCCCGCGACTGGTAGTCGCAGTGGCGCAGGCTGCATTCGGGGGTTCAGCTCCTTGGGCAGGTCGGCTCGGTAGCGGGTCCGACCCATTGCGCGCGTGGGGCACGCCAAACACGAGCGCGCCCGGGCTGCCTTCACGTAGCCGTAAGGCGTGACCCCTGTCCTGAGGACCGCCTTCGCCCACGCGCCCAACAGTTCTTCAATGTCCTCCATCGAGCCGCCGAGCGCGTTGACCTTGTGTGTGACTCCCGCCAGATATCGCGCCGCCTCCAGCTGGAGCCACCCCCCGGCGGCCCAAGCTGCAAAATTGGCGGCGCCCGTGAACGTCACTTCCTTGCTGATCCTGGCGATCACCTCCACCAGAGCCTTGTAGTGTTCAGGGTCCAGGGACTTCTTGTAGCCGAAGAGCAGCGAACTCATCGAGCACATCTGTGACTTTGCGTCTCCTGGATCTGGCGAAGCGAAGGCCATGTCCAGGTTGGCGCTGCACCGCTAGTCCTGGAAGTTGTGGCCCTCGGCCGCGGCGATGACCTTCATGCCGCGCTTGCGGCGCTGGTTCCCCGCTATCTTGCGCTTAGCCTCGTGAAATGGTTTCCAGAATCCCTGCGCGCCTCCTGGGACTCCTACAGGCTTGAGGATGGCCTGCATGTTGTCTGGGAGTTTGTTGAGCGCTTGGTCCAGCGTCAGCCGCCCGCTTCAGGTGATCAAGTTCGTTCAAAGCGGGTTCGTGCTGCACCGCCGTCACTAGTGCGCTCCACACTCTTGCCCCCTCCTCCTGGGCTTCTTTCTCCGCGGCAGAGGTAGCCCGATCCTCTGATGCCCCGCCGCCCCGCTCAGCGCGAGGCGCTGGCTGTCACGGGCGGTGGGCTCGCTTGGCCGCCTCCGCGTCGGCGGCGGCCATTGCCTCCTGCAGCTCGCCCTCCGTGACGGCCTTGCCGTCGATGCCCTCGCCGGCGAGCTCTGAAGGTGACAGCGCCGCCTGGTTCGGCTCCACGGCCTGCGCTCCTCCTCCTGGTTGCTGTTCTGCTCCAGCTGATCCGCCCTGGGCGGCACGGGCCGCCTCCTCCTGCTTGTGCGCCCCGACGACGGCGGCTGGGCCGACCCGCTCCCCTTGGGCGGCGTGGCGTGCCTCAGCCTTGGCGGCGGCGAGCTTGGCCCTCTTCTCTGCCGAAGTGCCGGCGTCGTCGCCGCTGTGATCCTTCCTGATGAGGACTGGCGGGCCGTCGCCTCCGTCAGTGTCCATCGCGGCAGCGAGGGCTGCCGCGTACCCGCCCACCTGCTGTGGGTTCGCGGCGCGCTTGACCAGCTTGAAGGTGAACACGTTGTGGGTCAGCACCACCGCGTCGGAGCGGGCCTCGCCGTCCGTGCTCTCGAAGAACCTGGCCAGCTGCAGCTCTTTGGGGTCTTCGGGGCCTCTTGGGGCCTCTTGGAGCCTCCTGGGCCTTCTTGAGTTCCCTGAATGTAATTCAACTAGAACCACGCGCGCGCTACGCGCGCGCTTAGGTTCTAGTCGCAGATGAGCCACGGGTGCCGTTGTAAACCCCGCTGTGGCCACAACGACGAGTTCCAGCGTTCTCGGGCCCATGTCATAGACGCAAAAAACGCGTAGTCTGAACGCGGGGCGCCACGTTCCCGCGCACCTCACAATCTCGCTGCCGCCTTCGTTTGGTTTATCGAACTGCGTTTGTTTCTCCACTTTCATTTCCACTCTGCCCCGTCGCAACATTCAATGATTTCGCACATCTGCTCAATCTCCCCATGCCCGATCACGCAGACATCTGAAGGTTCCTGATGTTGGGGTTGGCTCGGGGCCTCGTTGCGCGCGCGTGGGAGCGCGTTGTTATTTTCCTCTTCCTTGTGCTCCAAGCTTCTCGTTCACAGCGGTCGTTCAGCTGTCGGATATTTGCAGAGGGCGCGCGCAGATGCCCTCGTCATCTGTGCCCTTCTCTGCAATCCGTTGCTGTCGAGTCCGTCCACGGGAGTGGGGAAACTTCTTTGTGCTGGACGCCAAACCTCATGCCGGCGATAATCGCACCCGTGGGAACAGAAGGCTCGGGGTCACGGGGGGTGCTCAATGATTTGCCTGGCAAGTCCCATGTATGGGGTTGCGTGGAGCTCTGACGGGGCCTCTGGCGGTACCTTCTTCGCGCTCTGGCGAGGCCTTTTCAGGAGGTGGGGGAGGGGCACGAAACCTAAACTATTGTATGGTATAGCCACACCCCGCTCGCTCGGGCGGGTCCGCCTTGCAAGGGTGGGAGGAGCAAAAGCCGCGTGAAAGAGTATGGTGTAGGGATGTCCTGCTCTCTCTAACGGGGGTTTCCCTGGCGCTCTGGCGGGGCTTGCCCAGGAGGGGAGGGAAAAGCACGAAACCTGAGGAAAACTATGGTATAACCACATCCCGTGCGCTCTAACGGAACTACTTCGGGTGCGGTGGGAAGAGCAAAACGTAACAGGGACTGTATATGCTATAGCAACACCCCTCTCGCTCTGCCGGGGCCGCCCTTGAGGGGTGTGACGGGCAAAGCAACTTGTGAAATGATAGGGTATAGCGATGCTTTGCTCGCTCAGGCGGGGCCTGTCTGGCGCTCTGGCGGGGCCGTCCCAGGAGAGGAGGGAGAAGCACGAAAACTGAGGGGTGAGGGGAAGAAGAGGAGAGAGGAGGTAATGGAGGAGGGGGTGGGAGGGAAGGAGGGACAGAAGGGGGAGGCCCGGGCCATCTGGGCCGTCTTCGAGCGCCCTGGGGCCTCCCGCTCCCGCTCTGTGGTCCATTTTGGGCATATCCTGGGGCCTCTTGGGCCGTCTGGGGCCCCTCGTGTGCAATTTGCAGGTTCTCTGGAGCCGTCTTGGCGCTCTTTTGGGGCGTCTTCGGCGGTTTTGGGGCGGTCTTGAGGGCGTCTTCGACCTTCTTCGAACATTGGAAGCTCGAGGACGCGAGAAAGCGAAAATCATCGAACAAACCAATGCACATCAATGATTTGGGCCTCTTCGGGCTCTCTCGGGACGTCTCTCGGAGCTCTCTTGGGCCCTCTTGGAGGCCTCTTGGACACATGTTCAAACGCTCTCGTGCAGTCTTGGGCTCTCTTGGAGCGCTCTTGGGCCATCTTGGCGCCCTCTTGAACGTCTCTCGGCCCCCTTTGATGTTTTTTGGCGCCCTTCGCTGGGCCCGAAACGGCCGGAAAACACATCAGTGCACTTTGGGGGCCCCGGGACCCTAGAACCACGCATGCTCTTCGCGCGCGCTTAACTGGTCGACCGGCGATCTGTCGCCAAGCTATGGGCCAGGAAGAATACAGCGCTACAGCGCCATTGTGCATTATGCTATGAGCGTGGCTGCGGAGCACTTATTTTTCCCCTGCGGCTAGGAGCGACCCTCGCGGCACTCTGCACCACAAAGCATTGCTCCTCCGAGCCCGCGGGGCGCGCGCCGACAACGCGCACCCCGACCGTCGGCTCGAGGAGCAGCAGGAGGAGGCAAACTGAGCATCGTTTAACCGATCCCTATCCCCACTGGAGTGGCCTGGGCCCTGCTGGCCGATTTACCCCTTAGATGCAAATGCAGGTCAACATCATATGTTTCCTTCTGCCCCGTCCTTATTCCTCCTCCTCCGCTCTCATCGACCGGTCGACCGGTGATCTGTCGCCAAGCTATGGGCCAGGAAAAATGCAGCGCTACAGCGCCATGTTGCACTATGCTATGAGCGTGGCTGCGGAGCACTTGGGGCAATCAATGAAACTCGTGTCAAGGAACCCGCACGTGCAAATATGCAGGAAAAACGCCATATTCTCCCCTGCGGCTAGGATCGACACTCGCGGCACTCTGCACCACACAGCATTGCTCCTCCGAGCCCGCGGGGCGCGCGCCGACAACGCGCTCCCCGACCGTCGGCTCGAGGAGCAGCAGGAGGAGGCAAACTGGGCATCGTTTAACCGATCCCTATCCCCACTGGCGTGGCCTGGGACCTGCTGGTCGATTTACCCCTTAGATGCAAATGCAGGTCAACATCATATGTTTCCTTCTGCCCCTTCCTTATTCCTCCTCCTCCGCTCTCATCGACCGGTCGACCGGTGATCTGTCGCCAAGCTATGGGCCAGGAAAAATGCAGCGCTACAGCGCCATGTTGCACTATGCTATGGAACGCCATGATATGCCATGCTACGCTATAAAGCGCAATGCCACTATGCAGTATGCAATGCAATAACATGATATACCGTACAGTGCGCATTGCATGCCATGCCATGCTGTGCTGTGAAATGCTATGGTAATATGTTGGATGATACGCTGAGCCATATCATGCGATGTTTCCTATGAAGAACGATGCTACCGCGTTACACGGTATGCACAGACACGGCATACCGTGCTATTCAATGCAATGCAATGCTATGCCATGTTATGAACTGCTAGGCTAAAATAAACAGGACGACAGTAAGAGCAACAACGGGGGTGTGATATTTGTATGGTCACGGTTTACTCTTGCGCAGAGCAGTACGGTGCTGTTCTAGTAATGTATGCGCATTGGAATGCCATAGTACGCCACGGTGCGTCATGAGATGCCATGCCATGCTGGGCAATGTTACGTCGTGACTTGCAGTGTGAGGCTCAGCTAAACACTGCTATGGAATGCAATACGATGGTATGCTGAACCATACTGTGATATGCATTGACACGGTTAGCTATGTCGTGCTGTGCCGTGCCATGCCATGTCATGCAACGCTGCGATGCCACGATAGGCTAGGCGGTCCTTTGCTATGCACCGGTATGTTTTGGAGGCCGTGTGGGGTGCTCTTGGGGCCTCTGTTGCGGCCTCTTCGGGGCCTCTGGGGCCTCGTGGGGCACCTAGGGGGCCTCTGGGGGGCCTCTTGGGCTCTGTTGGGGGCCTCTTGGGGCCTCCTGGAGGCCTCTTGGGGCGGAAGGCTCGAATTGTCGGTTCGTGTTCCCCCTCTTGAGCCCTTCTTGGGGCCGTCTTGGGGCCCTCTTGGGCGATCTTGAGCGCCTCGTGGGCCGTCTTGGGGGGCGCGCTTGGGCCGTCTTGGGGCTCTCTTGCGCCGTCGTGGCGCCCTTTTTGGGTGTCTCTTGGGCCGCGTTGAGCTGATTTCTGGGCCCTCGTGGGCTGTCTTGGACAGTCGGAAACACGAAACAGCGAGAACACGAAAAACCTTCAAAAACCATCGAAAATAACACTTTGTTCGCCTCCTGAGTGCCTCGTGGGAGTCCTTTTGAGAGCATCTTGGCCGTCTTGAAGCACTCTCGGGCTGTCTTTAAGCCATGTTGGACCAATTCTGAAACGCTCTTGTGCGGTCTTGGGCTCTCTTAAAGCGTTCTTGGGCCATCTTGGCGCCCTCTTGCCCCCCTTTGACGTTGTTTGGCGCCCCCCGCCGAGCCCGAAACGGCCAGAAGATAGATCAGTGCACTTTGGGGTGCCCGGGACCCCCTATCCATTATATATATATAGAGAGAGAGAGAGAGACAGAGAGAGAGAAAAACAACAACAACAACAACAAACAAACAACAACAATCATTTTACCCGAACGCTCAGTGTTCTCACCAGTGCCAGGGTTTTCATGCGACGCGAGACAATACCCCCACTTCGTGGGGGGGCAGTTCAAGCTCTACCAAATATCCAAACGACTCTTCGCGACCACCCAAACCCAGCTTCCCGCCCTATGACGTTGGGACACTTCACTTCGTGGCGTGCGGACGACCGTGGCTACTACACTGGCGTGGGGTACACACCCACAGAACTTGGTCACTTATTCGGGGCGCGCGTGTGCCCAGCATCCTGCAATTGTGACATACAATACATGACACAGACAGACAGAGAGAGAGACAGAGAGCAGACAGAGAGAGAGACAGAGAGAGCGGAGTTGGTCACATTTTTGGGGCAAGTTCCTGAGATCGTCGTGTTTTTTGTTGGTCTTGCGCGCGCGAATGTCCACTTTACTTTTTTTTGCAAGGGAGTATTGAAATTTGATTATGTTAGAACAAGAAAAAGTAGCTCGCGCGAGCTCATGTAACATAAATGTTGAAAAACCATTGGTTTTGTGGGAGTCGGACAGCGCGCGCGGGATGAAATTTGGACATTTTTTTTTGAAAAACCATTGGGTTTTTGATGTTTTTATGTTGAAATCGTTACGAAACCTAAGGTTCTGGAAGGATTTCGTCTTGCGCGCGCGAATGTCCACTTTACCTTATTTTTTGCAAGGGATTATTGAAATTTGATTATGTTAGAACAAGAAAAAGTAGCTCGCGCGAGCTCATGTAACATAAATGTTGAAAAACCATTGGTTTTGTGGGATTCGGACAGCGCGCGCGGAAGGACATTTTGACAATTTTTTCTTAAAAAACCATTGGGTTTT